CAAAAATAATGATCTGCATGACTCACGCACTCCCACCTTGCATAAGTATCTAACCGCTCGCTTTTGCAAAACAAACACTGAATGAAAAAGTTATTGACTGCAAAATCCCCAGAAGGCAACAACATATCTCAAGGAATGATGTACCATTTTCATTGTAGATGAACTCAGTTCATTTGAAACTATTCGAAGTGCAAGAATTTGGTCAAGTATAAATTGTTAATATTACAGCTGAAGGTGGGTAGGTCTGTTTTTTTAATATTGAAGCACAAGTAGTTTGCGTCACACCATTTTTTCACAACTTCTGAATCACTAGAGATAGTTTCTATCATATTAGAAGTATTTTTGCCATGCCATAGGAGCGTGGTGTCATCCGCAAAGATGGTAAAAATTCCTTGAATTGAGAGAGAGTGTGATAGTTTTTCGTTTGATCTTACTAACTGTTTTCTATCACTTAAGTGAGACCTGAACCAGTCGTTATACACTCCTCTGAAGCCATGGTAGTTCAACTTTTGCAAAAAAAGTTCATGATTTACACAATCAACTGCAGAATACAGCTGCAGAATCAGCTGCAGAATACTGCAGCTACGACCTCACCATTGTTGAGATGTGTATAGACATGTTCAAGAAAGGAAAAGATTGCATCATTCGTGCCTTTTGCCTTGTGAAAGCCAAATTGACAATTGGTTAATATATTTTGTTTATAAAGAAAAGCTAACACCATTTTCACTATGATTTTTGAGACTGTTGAGAGCATGANGTGTTGACACAGAATACGATATTTGTGCTACAGAAGAGGTCTTTGAGATACCTTACAAAGTCTAAGCCGAGAGATCACTGCAAGCCTTTATTCATCAGCCACAAAATATTAACTGTCACCTGTTTATATACAATAGAAACAGTAGGTAGGATTCTCCTGAGGCCTACTGAAGCCTATTTTGAGGCTGAAGACAGATATTAGGTCTACCTCCACCTGAGGTTGCTCTCAGCTCGCCACCCAGTCAACCAGAGTACACCGTCACGTAGTTTTCTGTCACCCAGCTAGGTGGTGAGGCAGCCAATAAGAGTGTACGTAGTGTCCTTAAACTCCAACTAACCAGAGCGCACGCTTCTGCATCGTACAACTTAGGTGGGAGATTTGAATTTGACATAATTAAAGCAACCAGGATTAGGCGCCCGCTCCAAGCGGTGACGTCGACTCAGTGATGCAACCAATCAGAGTGCACGGTTTTGCATCATCATGTAGCTACACAGGCGGGAGATTTGAATTTTCTGTGTACATGAAGGAAAAAAAAAGTGTTTTTTCATCGAGACAATGCACCGCGTCACGAATTGATGAAAACAATGGCAAAATTGCATGAATTGTGCTCAGGATTGTTTTTGCATCCACCGTATCCTCCAGATCTAGCCCCCGGCGACTTTTTCCTCAGATCCCAAGAGAATTTCCACTGGAAAGAAATTTAGCACCGATAAAATTGTATGTCTATGAAAATGGTTTTCAAATGCTCACCAGTTGGGAAAGGGACCAAAAATTCTCCGTCGATAAACGATTTCGTTTTTTCAACGTTTCGGATTCGATTAAATTCATCATCAGGGCTCAAACATTAGTTTATCCATGCTGAAAAAAAACATTAAAATATGTATATAACAAACAACATGAGAACGAAAATAAGGACTTATTTTCGATTGTAGTTGTGAATAAAATGTTAAGCATACAAACTTTCTGGCCGGGGTTGAAAAAAATTGCGTTGAAACTGTTACCAGCTGCCACTGCTTGAAATGAAACATGTTTTCCGTACGAAAGCAACATCTAATCGAATTTCGTGCAACACTCCTGTATGGTCTTTTCAGTGAGATTGCATCTCCAGAATAATCCCATTTACGTCCAACTTTCAACTTTTGCACTGCTCCTAGCCGTTATCATCCTAATTCTATCAAAACGTTGCTGATAAAAAAACGACCGACGTCGTCCTGCAATACTGAGAAGCCATTAGACTCTGGGAATCACGAAAACTTTCCAGCAAAGAATTAACAAAACAAACTTCTTAACGCTCTTATAAAAGTAATTTATCTCTTAACCCTATTGCGATCTCTCGACGAAACGAACTTATTATTTATATAGCGGGCCAAGAAGTATCTTTGAGTGGTTTGCGAGGAGAGTTGGACAATAGACCGGTTCAAAGAGGTCCTTATGACGGTATGGAAGTCGGTCAGATGTGGAAGGATTCCTAAATTTCAGACCTTTTTCGTCATACTCCTATCATTGATGAAATAGGACACAATTCCCAAACTCCTCATTCGTAAGTTAAGGTGGTCTGTTACAATGTTGAGCTCCAACACTGACCGCTGCACAAAGAATCGCTTTCTGACCTTCTCTGCAGCTCTCATTACTTCGAAACTCTCGAATCTCAAAACATAAAATTTCTCATTGAAAATAATACAATCCTGACTGAAATTTCAAACGTTTCGCCCGCTTCTGCAGCAAACATCAGTGATGGGTACATTGATTACGAGGGCGAAGGTCTTATCTTGAAATCTCAGTAATGGCATTCTGTCGTTTGCATTGGTTTACTTTCCGACATTCATTGGGGGATAACTTGAAATGCATGTATATGTCAAATTCTTCAAAACATTGGCACAATTGTCGTTTCAAGTATTTGTTATAGACAAACTTTGTCTTTCACACTGAGTAATTTGGACGAATCGTTTGAAAGTTATTACGATAAGATTTACTTTGCGCAACGCAATGAGCCATTACGTGTCGCGTCCACTGTAAGACGCCGGGGAACGATGCGCGGAGGTCTAAGCAATGGAGCGCCATCGCCGAGAACGCGACTCAAACGCGGGCAGACACATGAAGGCAGTTGTCGTTGAGGTTTGTGTTAGTTTTTTTATACGTAACATAATCCCTGAAACAACTAAAAAGAAGAANTTTTTACTTGTATTTTATTTCACTATTTTTTCATTTCAGGTTTATTTTGGTTAATATAATTGTTATTTTCAGCTATTCATTTTCGATTCTTCTTTTTTAGTTGTTTCAGGGATTTCAAATCATTTTATATAGTAGACAATGAAAGTCCGAACTAGTGAAATTCATCATGAAACGCAATGGTTTGACAACTTACACAGCTGCAAAAATAGCTAACATCAAATCAAGTTGGACAGAGTGCCTGCTAGATCTGGGCTCCAATACGTATTATCTCGCCTGCAGACACTATTCAACTTTACAATCGTGTGTTGACTCCGATTGCTTGTTTTCCTTTTTGGAGTTCCTGCCAACAATTGGTATATTTGGCTCCAGTTTGTGGCATTCGAACCCAAAGAATTGTGACATCATAATGGTCTTCTGGTTCGCGTTGAATTTCAACATGCCCGAGTCAGTACACCGGTGTTCAGATATTTCACAGCAACCTGTTAACATTTACCACCAGCAGTAATCGCTCATGCCTAACCGTAACAATCAGAGCAAAGAGCAGAAACGTCCTCAAAGATTTACTTTAGCCCATGAACGTAACGCCGACACACACATAAATAACGAGTAACATATTCCTGGTCGCATATGTGTCTCAGGCAGGGAGACTATGAAACAAGTTGAGAATGGATACTTTAAATGCTTCAGGGTGAAAGCTGCTTCGAAGCACGTCGCTGTCAACTTTGACAAATGTGTAGTTCGCGTTGCTTTGGTGACTGCTCTATCGCGGAGGCAGCGCGAGGTTATCGGGATTTTCAAGACACGTTTGCTCCTAATTGTGGGTAGAGATCGCTATGATGGAAATGTTGCCGTCAGATTCCGCACTTTTGTTTTCGAAGGCGTTTCGTCACATCGATACAAAAAAAAAGTGTTGGGGTTGTTGATGTGTTGTTACATACTTCATTATAATGATCAATTTCGTGTATTCAAGTTCATTAGAACAATATATAGAAATATAATAGAATAC